GCAGGAATGTACTGCTCACAGAGATACAGAAAATTCTTCTGGGGAATTGGGACAGGACATCTTCATTAATTCACTCCATCTTCAGACACTTACCCGTATTGAAAACAAACTTACCCTGAGCTCTCATTAAACAAAAACTTCCCAAAGAAGCCCAACTTTGTTGTTTATGACACATACAGTACCTAGGGAACTACTTAATTGTTCAGCAATATTGACCTCACAGACTCTCACAGTGAAGAAACCATTGGACAGCTCAGCTCAGACTTGTAGCAAACAAATTTAACTGAAGTCAGCAGGGCTTTCAGGTCCTGAGGCAGGACTTCATTCAAAGTCCGCTGGAATTCACAGGAATATTTCTCTCAACTCTGACAGTTCCAAGTGAGAATTCAGTGCCACTTTACATTGCCTGACTGACACCTAGAAACAGGAGAACTGTAGCATTGCCTATATACATCTTCTGCTTCGCCAGACTATTTAGAATATAAATTTGAAAAACAAAACAAAACCACACAACTTACAAGCTCATCACTGCCCTTGTTTACTTCTTTACCTGTAACAGAGGTATTATAAAATTTGGTGAATATTTGGTGACTGGACTTTCTTTAACCAACTTAAAAGTACATTTTTGCATTGCACCTCACTTTCCGAGAACAAGATAAACTACTTCGAAACCATGCTGGACTTGCATAAGGTATGTTGAAACTGAAAAACTGCAAATACAGCTCTTTCAGACCTATCACAGAATCACAGAATCACAGAATAGTAGGGGTTGGAAGGGACCTCTGTGGGTCATCTAGTCCAACCCCCCTGCCGAAGCAGGGTCACCTACAGCAGGCTGCACAGGACCTTGTCCAGGCGGGGCTTGAACATCTCCCAGGAAGGAGACTCCACAACCTCCCTGGGCAGCCTGGGCCAGGGCTCCGTCACCCTCAGAGGGAAGAAGTTCTTCCTCATGTTCAGACGGAACTTCCTGTGCCTCAGTTTGTGCCCATTGCATCACATGTTGATGGGATGGGGGAAAATACTTTTCCTGAAGAATTCAGTGGAGTTTGCAGAAAAGGAGGAGGAACTGAAAAACTGTTGGCATCACTCTGTGTTTTGGGCACCAGAAGGAAGATGCAAGGACATCTGAAGCATGGCCTCCAGAGAATATTGGCCAGCTAACCTCTGATGTGTGGGATCCATACATATTTTCCTGAAGAAAAATCCCTGCCAACAGGAACTTGAAATGTCAGGGTCTGAAAGTAACAGCACGTTAAGCTGTGCATAATTTTAGAATAGAAACATTGTACAGCTATTGGGGAGGGCAATTAAATACTGGAGCAAGGTGTACAGGGCAGTGAGTGAATTCTCCACATTTAGAAGTTTTTACATCCAAACATGGCATGTTTGATAGGGGATGCTACATGCAAGCACGGCGAGACTAAGAAATGACTATTTGTCCATTTTATGAAGGAGACCAGATTATCTACTAAGCAGTCACAAGAAAAAACAGCAGCTTTTCTCACGAACCAATAAACAGAACAGGAAATAGTAAGAATAAACACTCAGTTTTCACAACAGAGAAGGTTAAATGTAGAGTCCTGCAGAGGTCTCAGCTGGGACCTGAGGCTGTTCAGGCAATTCATAGAAAACCTGGAAAATGAGGCACTAGTGAGATGACCACATTTGCCAGTCATACAAAAGACATTATTACCATTATTACTGTCATTATTTAGAAAAACAAAGGCACTCTTTCTTTAGGAAAATAGAAACAAAGAGTGTGAAGTTCAATGTCAACAAACGCAGTCAAGCACAAGGAAGAAAAACATGCGTTCCACATACGTGTGCTGGCTCCAGCCTAGCTACTGACATTAAAGAATGAAGGTTAGGAGCCACTGGGCATTGTTTCACAAAAATACCAGCTGAAGAGTCAGCAGTATTTGAAAAGGCAAAGAGAGATTCAGGACATTTTAGAAAAGCAATACAGGACAAAAGAGAACACCTTGTTCTGCTCGATTTCAAATTCACAGTACACCCATACTGCATACAGTTTTGCTCCCTCTAATTCACAGATAATTTCCAGAAATTATCCAAACATAGTGACTTACCACAAAATATGTTTTTCTGAAATGAGTTGAGTTCTAGATACATAGTGCAAATGTAGGGATAAGGCACAAGATGGACATTGTCACGTTTGAATCTCATCTTCGATACTCTCTCCCATTTACTCAAATCTGAGAACAAGGATAAGACTTAAGAACACAGCACTAACATTTCAAAGTAGCAGGAGTCCTGACAATGTCTTCTTGTAAAGCTTCAGAAGTCGTACCACACTGCACACGTGTATAAGGGAGCAAATACAATCTGTCGGTATGAACTTTGTGAAAAAACCCTAGTAACACATTACAAGAAGCATTCACCCAGGTGACACTCTCCCATCAGTCACTTGTATTAAGTGTTGTGCTTCCTTCACTGTATTTGGCTTCAGTCCTGACATTCTCCCACAAGAAACAACATGCCATGCTCTTCCAACCCTACAAATAAAACCTCATCAGCTTTCCTAACTAAAAATTAATTATTTCTAAAATCATTATAAAAATTGCAAAGGACGAGGATTCATAGGAGTAGCATCATTACATTTACTTCATAGTTCAAAATGGGAAGAAAAAAGAGAATTGACATGACAACACATGTTCCATCCTGTCAGTGCAGTTCTGACACCTAGGAGCTCATGCGTGCAAGAATGGATGACGCTAGACAGCAGTCTCCTTACATGCCTCTGATCTCAGGAAGAAACAGGTAAAATGAGTATTTGCTATCAGAAGCTAACATCCTGAGGACTGGAGAGGGAGCTCAATATTTGTCTAGGTGAAATACTGACACAATCAGTTTCTTTAAGGGATGAAATTGCTCTTTTGAGTTTGGCTTCAAGGACTTCCACAGCACAACTAAGAGTTCTGCTACAGCCCAACACACAGACTGCATGACAACTCATCATGCCAGACCTCTAAGCCTGCAGTTCTCATCAGGGCCTAGTGCTGACTGAGCATGTGGATGCACTTCCAAGTTCTAGAAATACAACTCTCTGAATCAAACACTCCTCAAGCACACAGGCAAAAACAGCTGAGTTTTAAAGAAGCAAACCAACAATGAGGCTTCATTTGTCTGGATGATTCCTCTCTGCCAATGTTCTTGGCTACTTTCTTTTCCTTGCAGTAACATGAATAAGTTGCTATCATACGTACCTGCTTCTGACAGAGAAACAGGATGACCTTGTTCTTGCCTGCTATTACAAGGTTTGGCAATAAGGCAGTCTTCCAAGACAGGAAGGGAATGCATTGGAGGCAGAAACACGTGGGTATTCCTTACTCCCTGGCACCCAGAACCACAGCAGTTGATGCCAGAGGGCCTGATCTGATTCACAAATTGACACACCTTAGGTCTGAAAAGGCTTCTCATTCAACCAACTTGCTTTTCTCTTCAATGAGAGCCTCAGCAGAGTAACTTCTTCTTAACCCTTTATACTACAGCAACTACAACAGTAACATTAATTAACAGTTACCATTTCTTTCATTTCATTATTGTGAATTCAAAATAATAAGATGCAGAACATGCAGCAGACACTGCTAAATTCTGTCCAGTTGCACAAGCAAGAAGAAAGACATGAAGGCTAGCTGGGCCCTTGGTGCACTCTGATGAAAAAACATCTAGGAGGAGCCTGTAGTAAAGCTGCTGGCCAGAACAATACAATCCCAAATGCCTCAGCACTTACAACCAGAAGTGAAATCTCCAGGAAACTATACTCAACAAAACCTGCACGTACAAATATTCAAATATTAGCTTCTATATGCCTGTGCTGTGCAATGGCACAAAGCTTTTACAGTGCTTTCTCTTGATAGCAGGCCAGACTGACGGCAGCTAGATGCCCCTGTAAACTTCAGGGAAGAACGAACAAACCTGGTGACTGGTCCCAAAGGAGCAAGGAGGATGAGCAAAATAATGAGAATACAGGGTGGAGGACCTTTGTTTCACTTTTATTGCTAGACTTCAAAGGCTACATTGAAGAGGTGACCAGGATAACTGCACGGCAATCCTGCAGGCTTTATGCATTCAAAAGCCTATCTAGTCTTCCAGCTATCTCAGCTCAACCACTTCTCCTCATAAAACTCACTCTGCATGGTGCTTTTTGCTTCGGTCAGCCATCTATGTGGGTGCATAAGCATATACTCACATTTGCTCCCACCCAAGAAACTATTTTTATACTCAACATCCCTTTAGGCAACATAAGATTTCATGGGAACACTATGCTGTTCTCCCAAGTTCAAGCTCAAACTTCTTCCTCTACAGACTGAAGACAGCTTTGCAGGTACAATCTATCCCCAGAGGCTCATGGATGTGATTTAATCCTAATGTATATTACAACAAAACTACTGCAGTCTTCTCTACTAGTGGACCAACGTTGATGAGGCTGTAAGGAGCATTTTACATTTTATTAAGTTTTTGAAACGATGCACTAGTTTTGCTTGCAATCGCATTAGGTGGGCTTCCTGTGACATATATACATCTTCATTTGCTCTGGCTAAATCTCATTTGGAACACAGGAGTGTTCATCTGAAAACACTGCAAAGCATCACATCAGTTCTGTCTCTGGGGATGGCAACAATTGAGGAGGATCTTCAGCTAATGTAAAACTGCAAAGTTCAAAGGAGTCTTACTCCAGCTAAAGATCTGCATGCTACTAGATATGAATGTCAAATTAAGCAATGCCGAGCAGATACAAGTCATTGAATCTTTGCTTTTACGAGTAGGAAAGAAAGGATACATGGAAATATAGTGAAGCGGTCTGTAGAAAACGGATGTAAATCATCGAGATTTCCAAGGACTACTCGAATCGCTTCCTGGAGAGGCCAGAAAAAGAAAGGAACGAAGAATATTAACAACAGAGCCACAATTCCACTGTCAAGTACAGTTTCAAGGCTTGGGAAAAAATTAAAATTTCTTTATAGTCTGCTTGAATCATGGGAGAGCAGGTTGTAGATATTTTGCTTTTCCTGCTCCCCTTCTTTGCCCCACTCCCTCCCATCACCTTGGAGTATACTGCACTAACAGACTCATAGCAATTTAAGTGAATGAATATCTTAATCTTGAATTAACACTGAAGCATTACTATGGAGAGTGGAGGTGGGCTTTTAAATTTAAGACCTTTTAAATGTGGTCTTCGACCAGGGCTTTGGCACGGGACTGCCAGCTTCAGCAGCGCGGCTGGAGCCAGGCTGCTGCCCAGGAGGGACAGATTTTTACAAGCAGGTTTTCTCTCCATCAGCAAAGCTTTTGGAGAAGCAGGTTATTTGGGAATATTTGAAACCTTTGGCTCGCTGATTATTTTACACAGCCGAACTTGGTTGGGAACTCTCATCTTCTGTAAAATACTATGGTTTTATTTCAGTGTAAGTAGTCTCCTTTTCGCCAGCAAAACACATAGTATTGACCCAATTCAAAAAGAAACATATTATTTTTCTGAATATTGACCCAATTCAGTTACAAAGGAACTGTAATTCAGCCTGAACAAACTCCTGCTTTACAAATGTGAAATTTTTTTCTAGTAACACTTTCCAATATTTTCAAAAGTGAAAAATCAGTTAACCAATAATTTTCCACATCAATTAAAATCAGCACATTTTCTTCAATAATATTTATAATGCTACTACTGTACTCTCAAGATTTTTTTAAATTAAGTAACAGGAGCATTTCTAAGCAGACAATATATTTGCTTCATTTCCTCAGGAACGGCAGGGGCTTTCTTCTGTCTCAGGAAGAAGATGGCAACAACAGAACTCATCGGCTGCCCCCAAGCTTAGTCACAAACTAATGGTATCATTAAAAGAATGTCACTGGTTCCACTGCCTCTGCAGTTACGAGGAAAGTATGAGAAACTGAGCGTTAGATTAGCCTCTGTCAAGCCAGCTCACCAGTACTGGCACAGCTCCTGAAAAAACAGGAGTGTTTGAGAGCTGGTCAAGCCTCAGAACTTAAAAGCAGTGGACAGGTCTGGGGTTGAGACCGAAACCATGGGAAAGTGCTACTGCAGAATGCATCTGAACACGACTCAGAAAGGAACAGGGTGCAACTAGCTCGACAAATAGCAGTTTTCATTTGTCCAATTTTAACAGTCAGCTTCGTTGAAATATTTCATATAAAAGCATTACTCTTCTATGCCAATGCTGCCTGGTGATGACATTTCTCATTTACCTCATTTTTTTCATCCTCATATGCTACAGAGAAATTCCCCATTACTCGCACTTGAAATGTCGTATTTGACAAAATGTCCTCAGTCCCATAATGAACAAAAGATTTGCTCAGCCCAACATTCAGCTAAGGTCCTGTGGACCTGCTTCATCTCCTACCTCTAACTCCTTGACAGCACTTTCAGCATTGTCGAGACCAGGAGTGCTGTGAAACAGAGAGAGTTAGTCCCACCTAAATCAAACAGCAGTGGAGCTACATTCATTGGAAGCATTTAAACAACAACAAAATATCAAAAACCAGGACACCACTGCACAGAGAAAATACTTAGCAGGCAGATGAATTCCTAATTGATTGTTCTTACAAAACACCCATTATGCCACAGGGACTGTTTATTGTGAATTTTCTGCCCATTTGTATTTTGTGTGTCTGAGAATATAACGGATGAGAGATCAGATCTTTTCAGTCGATCCTCAGTAACCTTTAGGAGTGTTTTTTTGACAAGGTGCCCACAAACCAGCACCTCTGTCTTCCAGCCTATCACGATGCCATTCTGCTCAAGGTTCTCTCCTTGCTTGATATGGAACAAGTTAATGAAAGGAATTACATAGTGTGCCACAGCAGAAGGGCAGATACTACCCACCCAAGACTTACGCTGTGGTCGTGAAGTCTTCATGAATCATCAGGCGAACAAAAGTACAATTTGGGAAGTGATGTTGCCATGGTGATGAGGAAACAAGGGCGGAAAAAATGGAAGAAAGCAATACACCACCCAGGGTTTCATGACAAGGATGTCAGACCTGCTATCTGACGGAGGGGGATTCCTTAGTAGGGGGGGAGCAAGGTGTTTGGGGAGGAAGGGGGTGATTGTTTTCTTTCAAGCCTGGAGTGTAGAGATGCAAAAATTGAGTCATATTTGATTCTTAACAGAAGGGAAAAAGCTTCATTGTTAGCTGGTTTGCCCTGGGAATTCAGGAGACCTTCCATGAAGGTGATCTCGCTCTAGCAAAACCCTGCACGCACGCGTAGATAATCAGCTCTACGATCAGCTGGGATCAGCTCTTGCAACTCTTCTAACGTGCTTTTGGGAACCTGTCCTCAGATCGGTCACCATCTTACTATAAGCAAAGGACTTTCACATCCCAAATCCGCAGGCTGATGGACAGCATTGCTTTGGGCGTGTGTTAGAGACTGATTATAAAGAAGATTGATTGTGACTGCAAAATAGAATAAAATCATAGAACTAGAACATAAATTCAATTGTATGAACACAGGTGTGTTAAGAAACCACGGAATGCTGCTCTCAATTGACCCCTGTACAGCCCTTACCATGGTTGGGTTAGAAACCATTTTCTAAAGACAGATGAATTTTGTGATCTCAAAATGGACCAATAGACAATAAGGTCAACATGAGAATGGGACTAGCCATGGATGAAAAATCAAGAACTTTCTGCCAGCTAAGAAGAAAAAAGAATTGAGAAACTGATGGAAATTTCTAGGTGGACTTTGGTGGTCATGTAAGCATAACTGAAGGGTATATAATGTGTGATGATTTTGTTTGGAGCTGCCACTCACTGAGGTGATGGTCCAACTCTGAGTTGTGAATAAAGCTATACTTAGTGTAACCCACTTATGTGAGAGTAAAATCTTTAACAGCGTGAGGCTATGCATGCACTTACAACTCAATCCTTTACTCTCTCTCTCACGACCTGGGAGTGAATCCAGATGCTTCGAACAAGTATCCCTATTCACCACAACCATGACACGATGCGGAAGCGGTTCACAAGTTTCACTGTAAAAGCAGTTGCTTTTTCTATGTTTGACCATGTTAATGTGAAGACTGACTTGATGAGCTCACTACCTATTCCAGAAGTTATTATGAAACTCAAAAGGTGCTGCAAAAGTCTCGTATCCTGTTCCCTCAAGTATAACGATGAACTGCAAGAACTAGTACTGCCATACACACAAACCAAGAGACATGCAGGCGCAATGACAGACTGCCAAACTCAAAGAAATAGAGTGCTCTCTCCACCATCAGGAGATCAAACACCAGCAGACTGTTCAGAAACGTACACACACCACTGGCAGTGCCTTCCAGAGGAATTACGCTGAGGGAAAAACATTCAGCTAAGGTCCTGTGGACCTGCTTCATCTCCTACCTCTAACTCCTTGACAGCACTTTCAGCATTGTCGAGACCAGGAGTGCTGTGAAACAGAGAGAGTTAGTCCCACCTAAATCAAACAGCAGTGGAGCTACATTCATTGGAAGCATTTAAACAACAACAAAATATCAAAAACCAGGACACCACTGCACAGAGAAAATACTTAGCAGGCAGATGAATTCCTAATTGATTGTTCTTACAAAACACCCATTATGCCACAGGGACTGTTTATTGTGAATTTTCTGCCCATTTGTATTTTGTGTGTCTGAGAATATAACGGATGAGAGATCAGATCTTTTCAGTCGATCCTCAGTAACCTTTAGGAGTGTTTTTTTGACAAGGTGCCCACAAACCAGCACCTCTGTCTTCCAGCCTATCACGATGCCATTCTGCTCAAGGTTCTCTCCTTGCTTGATATGGAACAAGTTAATGAAAGGAATTACATAGTGTGCCACAGCAGAAGGGCAGATACTACCCACCCAAGACTTACGCTGTGGTCGTGAAGTCTTCATGAATCATCAGGCGAACAAAAGTACAATTTGGGAAGTGATGTTGCCATGGTGATGAGGAAACAAGGGCGGAAAAAATGGAAGAAAGCAATACACCACCCAGGGTTTCATGACAAGGATGTCAGACCTGCTATCTGACGGAGGGGGATTCCTTAGTAGGGGGGGAGCAAGGTGTTTGGGGAGGAAGGGGGTGATTGTTTTCTTTCAAGCCTGGAGTGTAGAGATGCAAAAATTGAGTCATATTTGATTCTTAACAGAAGGGAAAAAGCTTCATTGTTAGCTGGTTTGCCCTGGGAATTCAGGAGACCTTCCATGAAGGTGATCTCGCTCTAGCAAAACCCTGCACGCACGCGTAGATAATCAGCTCTACGATCAGCTGGGATCAGCTCTTGCAACTCTTCTAACGTGCTTTTGGGAACCTGTCCTCAGATCGGTCACCATCTTACTATAAGCAAAGGACTTTCACATCCCAAATCCGCAGGCTGATGGACAGCATTGCTTTGGGCGTGTGTTAGAGACTGATTATAAAGAAGATTGATTGTGACTGCAAAATAGAATAAAATCATAGAACTAGAACATAAATTCAATTGTATGAACACAGGTGTGTTAAGAAACCACGGAATGCTGCTCTCAATTGACCCCTGTACAGCCCTTACCATGGTTGGGTTAGAAACCATTTTCTAAAGACAGATGAATTTTGTGATCTCAAAATGGACCAATAGACAATAAGGTCAACATGAGAATGGGACTAGCCATGGATGAAAAATCAAGAACTTTCTGCCAGCTAAGAAGAAAAAAGAATTGAGAAACTGATGGAAATTTCTAGGTGGACTTTGGTGGTCATGTAAGCATAACTGAAGGGTATATAATGTGTGATGATTTTGTTTGGAGCTGCCACTCACTGAGGTGATGGTCCAACTCTGAGTTGTGAATAAAGCTATACTTAGTGTAACCCACTTATGTGAGAGTAAAATCTTTAACAGCGTGAGGCTATGCATGCACTTACAACTCAATCCTTTACTCTCTCTCTCACGACCTGGGAGTGAATCCAGATGCTTCGAACAAGTATCCCTATTCACCACAACCATGACACGATGCGGAAGCGGTTCACAAGTTTCACTGTAAAAGCAGTTGCTTTTTCTATGTTTGACCATGTTAATGTGAAGACTGACTTGATGAGCTCACTACCTATTCCAGAAGTTATTATGAAACTCAAAAGGTGCTGCAAAAGTCTCGTATCCTGTTCCCTCAAGTATAACGATGAACTGCAAGAACTAGTACTGCCATACACACAAACCAAGAGACATGCAGGCGCAATGACAGACTGCCAAACTCAAAGAAATAGAGTGCTCTCTCCACCATCAGGAGATCAAACACCAGCAGACTGTTCAGAAACGTACACACACCACTGGAAAAAAAAAAAGAGCTGAGTCACAGACAAGAGCAACATTTCAATGATCTTCCGAACTCTACATGACACCACAAGGCAGACAACACACCTTCCTCTCCAAATTCAACACAGAGAACAAAACAAGGAGGAAGGTTAATCCTCCTGGATCTGACACTATTCCAGCAAAATGCTAATAAGCAAAGCTAAAGAAACAATTGTGTTTTAATTCATCCCAAAGTAAAGTCAAGGAACAGATTTTTAAATAGACAGCCTACTTCTACAAAGGAAAAAGGAGACGAGTGTGGCACAAGATTTCATGTAGCTTCAGGTCTGGAGACAGCCAAATTAGCATGATGTTCACAGCCCGTTCTCTTCAATCCTCCTGCAGCTTACAACAGTCACTTCCAGAGTAAACCCAGGCTCTGTCAATGTCTGTGCACATCTGTTTGCAAAAGGAAATCCACTCACTCATAAAACCACTCTATAGGCAGGTGCTTAAGTCATTGCCTATAGCATTTTAGCCCTGCTGCAACCTCATTGGCATGAAAACAGGGTTTTCAGGATGCCACAATGCTGTTCTGTTTTTCTGATCCAGGGATACTTGCTGACTCAAAACGATCTCAGTCTTCGTTTCTGCAGGTTTGCCACCATCTGAAAAGAGATTTAACCTGAACAGTCTATCAGACTTTCCAAAAGCCTGTAGCACACCCTGATCACAGCCTTGAAGGATGGACACAGGGAGCCAGACTATGCTAAGCCACTGCTTTAGGGTTTTTTTTACTAATATTTATGAATACTGTCACTATTAATTATTTATCAGAGGCTGAGACAGCAACAGGTCATAAACTTTCAGACCAAGTTTCAGCTCTACAGAACACTCCTTCAGGACACAATCTATAAGCACCTGCTTTGGAACACTATCCTTAAGCCTGAGCAGCTCCAGCTCCTTTTGTCAGAATAGCTCAAACTTCTGGGATTATTACAGCCCACAACCCACGGAATTCCGAGTCCCCTCTCAAATAAAAAGCTCCAGAGCTCCTTGAGCGAGCTGGTCAAGATTTTGCCCACTCACAAAGGTACTTGCCCATCATTCTCTGTGTGTCTGACCAGCAGACACAAGCAGACCCCTCCAGGGCAATACACTTGGGGAAAGTCTTTTTTTCTGCTCTAAAATTCATCCTCTTTACTTGTTTGGCATCTTCCCCATCTGACCAGACTACCCAGCACCCTGTGCTTTAGTTACTTTGCTGGCTACTAACTTGAACTTCCTATTTGAGGCTTACCACACCACTGTTACCTCCCACAATCGTCCTCTTCATTGCCCCCTGTACACACAAAGGCTGTTTTCCTTTTTCTTCCTTCTGTGCCTGCAGTACCATAGACTAAAATACTCTCCCTTCACTATCATTTCTCAGGCTTGCCACTACAGTGCCTTCTAGAAACTGAGAGAAGCAGTTATCCTAAAAGTCCTGCTCAGCCCCTCTGCCTGCAGGAGATGTATGCTGCTGTTGTTTCAGAACAACAGGACAGGTTTGTCACAAACACATCTGAAATAGGAGTGGTAGCGGAAAGGGAGCCTTGAGAGAAAAAACCCCAAAGCACAACAAACATCTACCGCCAGCAGCCAGTGAGAGCTTCCAAAGACTCCTTCTACATCCACACCTGAGTGTCAGCTTGCAAGGCGAGTGTAAGCCACATTGCTAACATCAGACCACCCAAGAAATAAGTACCTACATTGAGTACAAAGCTCCAAGGCAGTGCTGATTCTGACTGGGATAGAGTCAATTGCCTCCACAGTAGCTCGGATAGGGCTATGTTTTGAATTTGTGCTGAAAACAGTGTTGGTAACACAGGGTTGTTTTAGTTACTGCTGAGCAGTGCTTACACGGCCTCACAGCCTTTTCTGCTGCTCACACCATCCCACCAGGCAAGCAGGCTGGGGCTGCACGAGAAGTTGGGAGGGGACAAGGCTGAGACAGCTGAACCCAACTGACCAAAGGGACATGCCAGACAACAGGACATCATGCTCAGCAACAAAACTAGGGGCAGAAGAAGTAAGGGGGGACGCTCAACGTTATGGTGTTGGTCTTCCCAAGTAACTGTTCGGTGTGATGGAGCCCTGCTTTCCTGGAGATTAAACATCTGCCTGCCGATGGGAAGCAGTGAATGAATTCCTGATTTTGCTTTGCTTGAACACACACAGCTTTTGCTTTACTTATTAAACTGTCTTTACCTCAAAGTAAGTTTTCTTACTTTTACCCTTCCAATTCTCTCCCTCATCCCGCTGCAGGGCAGTGAGTGAGCAGCCATGTGGGGCTTAGCTGCTGGCTGGGGTTAAACCACTACAAAGGCTCTAAAGCTTCTCAGTTAAACACTTAAAAAGTTTCAAAATACTATCAGTAAAAACAGCCTCTTTTTTCAGTGAAGCACAAAATTCACACATGGTAGTGAAACAGAAGCATTTTTTACAGCTCAGATTACTCTCTCAGGCCAATGCTCAGCCTGAGCAAGTGCAATAGCAACTTTTAAGTGACCACTTTCACGGCCAGGGAATGAAGGCAGGAAATGAGGAGCCCCCAAGATCTGAGTTTAGGGTCTCATTAACTCACTGCTACAGGCAGTCATCAAACTGCAGGCTGGCTTTGCAGCTTTAACATGCTTACCTGTTGAAGTTGCCATACCGGATTTTAAATTTGTACACAAGCCTGCCTGCATGAAGAAACCTTGTTTCAGGCAATGGATAGGTAAATGGTTTCAACGACATCGTCCTTTCTGCCAGCCTAGGGAAGCAGGACAGTCAAAGGTAAATGACTGAAACCCTTCACCACATCTCACTCTGTCACACAAGAAGAAAAGTTTACAAGCATTTTTTTTCTCTGGAGGCCGCTTGCAAAGAGAACACATTTCCTACCAGTATCTCTGCAAGTCAGAAAACAGACGATTCAAGTGTCCATTCCAATAAAACGGGCTATTTTTGAGAAGGATTCGAGGACAGACTTGAAGCTGATGGCCACCCAGCTTCCAGCTGCGCTGCTCTGGGAACGGCACTGCCAGCGGCCCTGACGCTGCGCAGGCCTCTCGCCCCGGGGGCTGCTAAGAAAGTTCGGGCAGGGCCGCGCCGCAGCCGGTGACCGCCCCGCGGTGCTTTCTGCCCCCTGCCGTTCCTGCGGGTGTAGCCAGGCGGAACTCGTTTCTCTCCACACCCGCACGTCTCCCCGGTACCCAGGGCCTCCGCTGAACAGCCACCAGCGGGAGGCGTCCCCTGCTGCCCCA